AACGCGAGTTATGGCCCATGGTATGTATATATATACATATATATATATATGAACACCCATAACATTACAGCCGGAGTGCAGTATCCCCAAACAAGGTTTTTAGACCCACTGCGGTTTGCAAGGTCGATTGCGTGCCCGTCCAGTGCGGGCTGGCATGGCATGTTAAAACATGCCTCCTCCTCCTCCTCCTCCTCCACCTCCTCTTCATCCCGAACGGCATCTCGGAGCCCAGAGTTGCGAGGATGTCACCAGCGTAACGGGCTGGACCACCTCGCGCGCGGCATTTCGGACCCCAGAGTTGCGACGATGTCTCGGGCGAAACGTGCTGCGAGGAAGTCTCAGGCGAAACGGGCCGGACCACCTCGAGCGCGGCGTCTCAGAGCTCCGAGTTGCGGGGACCTCCTGGGGCCTCTTGGGATCTCCTGGTGACCTCCTGGGGCTTCCTCCTGGGCCTCCTGTGGCCTCCTGGACCCCACCTGGGGGCTTCCTGAAGCCTTTTGGGGCTCCCAGGGGGGGATATCTAACATGTGGCAGTCGGGGCCCCCCAAAATGGGGGGGGCCACAAGAGCAGGAATTATTCACTGCGTGGGGATCCCCATATGTGCATCTCCTTGCTGGCGCTCCCTTGGTGGTGGGATTCGGTGAGGACGAATCTGGATTTAAGTGTGACTGAGCTGCCTCTCTCTCTCTCTCTCTGCTCTCTCTGTCTCTCTCTCTCTCTCTCTCTGCCCTCTCTCTGTCTCTGCCTCTCTTTCCCTGCCTCTCTCTCTCTCTGCCTCTCTCTCTGCCTCTCTCTCTCTGCCTCTCTCTCTCTGCCTCTCTCTCTGTGCCTCTCTCTCTCTGCCTCTATCTCTGCCTCTCTCTCTCTCTCTCTCTCTCTCTCTCTCTCTCTCTATTCTCTCTCTGCTCTCTCCTCTCTCTCTCACTCTCCCTCTCTCTCTCTCTCGCTCTCTCTCTTCTCTTCTCTTCTCTTCTCTTCTCTCTCTCTCTCTCTCTCTCTCTCTCTCTATCTCTCTCTCTCTCTCTCTCCCTCGCTCTCTCTCTCTCTCTCTCTTCTCTCTCTCTCTCTCTCTCTCTCTCTCGCTCTCTCGCTCTCTCTTGCTCTCTCTCGCTCTCTGTCGCTCTCTCTCGCTCTCTCTCTCTCTCTCTCTCTCTCTCGCTCTCACTCGCTCTCTCTCGCTCTCTCTCGCTCTCCCTCGCTCTCTCCCGCTCTCTCTCTCTCTCTCTCTCTCTCTCTCTCTCTCTCTCTCTCTCTCTCTCTCTCTCTCTCTCTCTCTCTCTCTCTCTCTCTCTAGTCTCGGCTCGAGAGTGCCCTGCACTCAGACCGCAGCCGCGACGCGAAGCGCCCCGCCTCGGAGTCAGACTCCCAGGCCTCGCGAGACCGGAGGGGTCCCAGCAGGACCCTACTGATTCGCGTCACCTCTCTCCCCACCAGAGCGCCCGCCGCAATGGCCCCCGCCAAGCCGGAGCGCCGTCGCTCTTCCAAGCAGCCGCCGAGCTCACGTCCTGCTGCTGAAGGGTCTCTCCTCCAACGCAAGCAGGACTGCATTGCAGCTTTCAAGCAAGCGGGGTCTGACCGCCCCACGGCCGCATACAACGGGCTCGCCGAGCTGAACGCGGACGAGCTGCAGGCCACGTACGACATGCACAAGACCAACACAAAGAAGCTCGGCAGTGCCTTGATCCGCATGTGTGCCGCCAACCAGATCAGCTACACGCTGGATCACCACCAGCGCAGCAAGCCTAAGCGCATTGGGGGTGACACATCACACCCACCAGCTGCGTCCGCACGTCTTCAGGCTGCGGACGCCCAATTCATTGCCTTGGACCCGGCCTTCTGGAAGGTCCCAGTCCTGGCCGAACCCACATCACTTGACGACGGCAAGACGTACAAGCCCAGTATCAGCCTCCACGACTACGAGAGCGGTGAACGGCTGCTGCAACACCACCTCGAGCAGGGTAAGCGTACCACGGGTCAGCTTGCGATTGCTGTCATGGGCCCAAAAAACGACAACTACGTCGGTACCGAGCTCGCCGTCCCCGTGCTGAAGCGTCACCCCAAGGCGCCCAAAGTGGTCCACACGCACGTCCCCGTGACCGTGTACCAGCTGGGCACCAAGGAAGTCGCCTGCACGGAAAAAGTAGCCGTCGCCACCATCGATCCTGCCGACCACGTATGCTGGATTCGGGTGACCATACATGAAACCGAAGCCATCGCCGCAGTCCCCTCCATGCATCAGGCCTTCGAGGATCAGTTCTCGGGAGGTGCCCCCGTGAACGGTGGTCCACGCGCCAAGGGTCCTTTCCGAAGGGACTCCGCTCCACAGGACAAGGCGCGCCAAAACCAAAAGCACAGGGAGTCCAAGAAAGACGCTCGCCGCCAGGAGCTCGATAGTCAGCTCCAGGACACCTTCAAGGCCCTCTTCCACGGCAACTTTAAAGCCGTCACCATCCTCGAACCCTGCAAAAGCCTAGGCAGGTATGGATCGGGCGTCGGAAAGAGGTCCCTGGCTGCCACCTTCGGCGTCAGTCTTCAAGCGGTTGACAAGGTCTTGGCGGGTTCAGGGCAACTCGGCGCCACCTACGACCTCAGCAACGTAGGTGCAGACGAGCCCACTGCAGACAAGTACCAGACCGTGTGGTTCCCTGAGGACCAGCCCATCACGATGGCAGATGCGTTCCAGAAGTCGGTGGACTTCAAGGCCCTAGGAGTCGTCAGGCACGGCAAGTCAGGCTTATTGGGGATCCGTGTTGCACGAGGGTCAGACGCCGCCAAGGCTGCTGCCGTCAGCATCCGTGGCTGTGAAGCCACCCTCGCCAAGACGCGATACCGCATCACTGGCATTGCGGCACGCCACGCCACGCTGACCCAGCTTGC